CTAGCAAAATTTTTATTATAAACATGTGTTGCTATTCATCACAGAGTCCTAAGCTGAAAGAAAATTCAAGAGATCATTTCACTCTTTTTCTAAGCTTCTGCAGGTTTTTAACCCAAAAAGTACCTTGAAAAAATTATCTATTTTATTTTGAAAGTTCTCTTAGGAAGTAGATCATATCAAAGTTTCAGTTTTCAATAGATATAATTTCACTAGACTATGATTAAAATACATCTTTTGTTCTTAAAGGTTTTATGTTTTTTCAAAACATCGGAAAAATTTCTGCTGTATACTTTTATCTTCACAATGGCTTGTGAATTAGGCACTTTCTTGCTCCTGATGTATTATGTAGATAGTTATAGGATACATTATAGCTTTTATTCACTGTGATGTGGGGTCAAGTTAGGTTTGAAATATCATATTTTGTGCTAACGTGCATCAGGTCTCCCAGATCTCTCTAAATCTTGGTGCAGTTTCATTTCTGTCGTCATGCATAAGATTTTGACATTGCTGTCTTTTGCACCATATTGGGGATCTGTTTATTGGGACCGCATGCAAAATGTCAAGAGACAGAGAATCTTAGTGAGGGAGAAGATCTAGGGGCCTGTTTAGGTCTAACTCCCACTCTGAACAGGCACTTTTGTTTACCTTTTTCCTCTACTTTGTAAAAATTCAAATCTGACCTATCACTTCCCTGCTTAAAATTCTGTAGTGCTTTCCACCTATCTGTAGAACCAAGCCTCTGCCCCTTAGGCTGGCATGTAACACCTCACACAGTGTGCCACTGTCCCTTACTGATGTTCTGCATTACGAAGGGAGGGAGTATATTCCAAGGGAAGAAGTTTAGTTTTAGAACCAGGAAGACGTGGGTTAAGATCCTGCCTTCATTCATCACTCCTGACTCTGTGAACTCGTACAGATTATTTAACATTTCTGAACCTACCTTTCCTCCTCTGTAATAGAGGAATGGGAACTCTTATCTCAAAGTTTTAGTGAGCATTAAATGGAAAAGGTGTGTGTAGTGCCCACCAGAGAGCTTAAGTTCAACTAAACATGCAGACTCACAACACTACCACAGGCCACATTTCTTGTCATCAGGGCCGCATCAGGAATTCATCTCAGCAGGGATGGTGCAGCAAGCAGTTCAGGCACATGACAGCTCATACACCCATATGGGGACTCTTGTCTCCCATGTGACATAGTTCCAGGCACAAAGCGCAAGAGCCACATCAGGCAGGTGCAGGAGCTACCCTGAGCAGAAGCCTCACGCCCTAAGGAGCCAGCATCTCGCGGACAATTCTTTGGCATAGTTTCTGCAGCTCCCCACGAAGGACTGCATTCAGGGAAGTCCAAAGCATGGCATCCTCAATAGATATTTACAGCTCCTTCATACTTCCTCCCAGTTTAGATGCAATTTACCAATCAGGGATCATTTTTACCATAAGCAATGTTGCCTAGCAATATAATTGATGCCTACCATCTACTTGGTTTCCAGGGTAACAGAGCTAGGTGGTTAAACCAAAGGTCAGATTCTCAAGCAGCAAGGGAAAAAGGTTTGTTAACTCTTTCATCTCAATGTACAACAAACCCAGGCAGGGGCCCTGCATGTTAAAGATATCAAAATATGCTTGTTCATTCCTTTTAATATTTAAGAGCTTACACTATGAGTTGTGCACTGTGCCAGACACTACAAATACAGTGGTAAGTTAAATAGATATAGTGCCATCTTCATGTTCCCTCTACCTGTGATACCCTTAATTCCGCCCATTGTCTAGAGAATTCCTATTTATCTTTCAGAGGGCAGCTCAAGGATTACCTCTTGTCTGAAGCCCATGTATATTCTACTCTCCTAGCGCTTTATATATATTGCCCTGAATTCATGGGTTAATTTTGCGAATCCACAGATCCCCCAAGTAATATACTGAATTTGTGTGCATGTGGGAATGTATGTTTGAAGAAAGGGGCTATAAAACTTTCATCAAATTTTCAAAGGGTTCTGTGCTGTCCCCTCCCCCTCCACTGCACAAGAATTTAGAACCACTACTCTGTTATGAGTATTTGTTATATTATGGTTTTATTATTTGTTTATAGGTCTGTATCTCTTACTAGAACATGAGTACCTTGAGAGAAGAGACTGTATGCATTAATATTTTGTGTCAGCAGAATGCCTGATTCATAGTAGACTTTTTGAAAATGTATGTTGAAAGAATCGCTGGTTAATATTTTTAACAGGCTCAGCAGCTTGAATAATGCTAGTCGTGCAGCATTTCTTAATTTGAAAGGGAAAGTTCTTCCTTATGTTAAACTAAAATCAGCGTTTCTTGTGCTTAGCTCTGTTCTCTAGAGTTGTAAATTAAATGTCTTCCATAATATAATTGCCCTTTTATGAGACTTATAGAGCTGATTGATGAATCAAAGAAAGGGGTTAATATGGGGGAATCAATGAAAAATGATACATGTGAATCTTAAACATTTTAATCTAAAACATGCAAATGTACATTAGTTTACTAGCATTTTATTATGCAATCAATACCTTTTTGTTGAATGTGACTCCACTATTGTGTAGCTTTTTTCACTTAAGCAATCCAAAATTCATCATCTACAATATCCAGTTTGGGTTTCTTTAAAGTGGAATTAAGAGTTAGACACTGTTGAAGCAATCCAATTGTAGAATTCTTCTAGATTTTTAATTTTTCTTCCTCTCCATAGTGTTCTATAGCTATGTCCCCCATATCTCATCAGTGATTTTTTTTTTAACTGCCTTTCATCTAGTCTGAAATCTTCAATTTTCAGAGGAATAACAACTCGTATTTCCTTGGTTTACATTCTTTTTAAATTATGTAACATAATATATGTAAGTGGCATAAACAGGTCTGTGATGAAACACAGTTGACTCTTAGTTGCACATGATAGGAGCAGAATTGTGCACGTATTCAGGGTGCTTTAAGCATCTGCCGTGCTCATGGACATTAGAAAGACCATGCATGTGTTTCTATGCTCAGTTTTTCTCAGGATAAACTATTTTGAAATTTCCTCATTTCTTCTCCCCTCAAATTACTGATCTTCCTAATTTAGAGTAGAATACAGGTAAACCGTGTTTAGCATTCCTTCTGGTTAAGCCTCAGGTATCTATTATTGCCCAGACCCCCCCCCAAAAAAATGAAACCATTAACAAAAACTGGTAGCAAATATGAGGGACTACTTAATTATGATGATGTTTTAAGTGTAAAAAAGAACAGCAGAGTGGAGCTTAATTTCTCTCCCCTGAGTGTGGCCTGGACTTAATGACTCATTTCCAAGAGCTAGAGTATGCAAAGGCAGAAATAGTAGCTTTACTAGTGGAGAAACCTAGCAGACACCATCTTAACCAAGTGATCAAGGTTAACATCACCAATGATAAGTCATATTGATAGGGTGTAACCTCTGATATGATGTGATGAGAAGGGCAATTCACCTCTGTGGTATTCTTCCCCCAAACCCGTAACCCCAGTCTAACCTTGAGAAAAAATATCAGACAAACTCAAATTGAAGGCTATTTTGCAAAATATCTGACCCCAGTACTCTTCAAAAATCTCAAGGTCCTGAAAAATAAGAAAAGACTAAGAAATTGTTACAGACTAGAGGTGACTAGGGAAACATGATGACTAAATGCGACGTGTTATCATGAATTGGATCCTGGAACAGAAAAAGAGGACATTAGTGGAAATACTAGGGAAATCTAGATAAAGCCAATAGTTTTCACAAATCTTCCATGGTTAAGTAAGATGTTAATATTAGGGAAATCTAGGTGAACTGTATGTAAGAACTGTCTGTACTGTTTCTGTGATGTTCCTCTAAACCTAAAATTATTCCAAAGCAAAAAATTTATAAAAATAGTAGTAGGAGAAATCACAAAAGAAAGGGTTAGGTGATTTCAAATTTAAGACATGTAAACAAAATTTGAAAGGCAATAACTGAAAAAAATATTTGTCACAGATAGACAAAGGACTAATATTTCTTAATATAGAATATACTTTTACAAATTAATAAGAACACACTAATACCTCACTGGAAAATAACCATTGATCACAATTCACAGAAGAAACACAATGGTCAATAAATATAAAAGCCAGTTCAATCACACCAGTAATTAAAGAATTGCCAATTAAAGCACTATTGGAAACATTTTCATCCATACATAAAAAAATGATAGAATTCAATTTTGAACAAGGTAAGTGGAATAATTATAGATTGGTATAGCCTTCTGGAAAGCAGGTTGCCAGTATAGGTATTGGGTTTTAAAATATGCATATTTGTGCTTGTAATCTCACACTTATAAAATTTTTTTCCCAAGGAAGTATGTACACAGATTTTCTAATTAGAATGTTCCTCACAGGGTTGTTGTTAATAAGAAACTTGAAACCTAAATACCTAACAATGAGGAAATGATCTAAAAAGTTTTGGCATTCCTATGGAATAGAATAGAGTCATTAAGAATCATGATAGTAGGGCTGGCTGAGTGGCTCAGCTGGTTAAGAGCTCGCTCAGGAGTTTGAGCTCTGAGCAACAGCGGTTTGATGCCTGGCCAGAGCTGAGCTGCCAACAGGTGGCAGGATGGCTCAGCTAAAAAGAAAAGAAAAGAAAAAAAAAAAAGAATCATGATAGTATAACTAAATAAAACAAAGAAAGCAAGATACACTTTGTGTATATCCTCTGATCCCAGACTGTATGCATGTGTACAACTATGTCTCTTGAAAGAGCAGCAAGGAAATATACCATCAAGTACAAAAGAGTTCCTTGTCCTTGGATGGTAAGGAAAGGATGGTTTTTGTTTTCTTTATAACTGTCCGCATTTTCAAAATTGTCTATAGTGAGGTTATATTACTTTTGTAATCTAGGGGGAAATAAACACTACAAGCAATGTGGCTAGTGAGCTTCTTTCACCTTTCATGCTGATTGCATTAAGAAAATGCTACATTTCCATTTTGTTCTCTAAAAGATACTTTTTCCCATTTTGCCACCAGGAAGCTTCTCAGGGTGCTCCCACTGCCGAGTGAGAACTGGGGAGCTCTAGTTGGAGAATGGTGTTGTCACCCAGACCCCTTTGCTAGTAAGCCACTTCATCCGCAAGAGAATGACTGTTTTATTGGAGACTCTTTCTGCTTGGTGAATTTAAGAAGTGATTCGTGGCAGCCAAGACCTGAACTAGCCCCAGTGAAGATGTCCTGCCTTTCTTCTGAGAACCATTTGAAATTGGTAAAGTATCTTTTCAAAATAAATTCTAATTTAGAGGTTGGCTTAGAAGCTGGTTTCTCCTAGCTTGTCTTAATTCAGGTCATGTTACACAGACTGTTCTAAAGACTGCAATCCATTATTTTCAATTGCCTCTATTCTCCAACGCTGCTCTGTTGATATAGGAAGAGCATATGACCTTAAAGCAAAACAGCCCACAGGGGCTGGAGGAAGAAGGGGAAGAGAACTACTTCATGCGCAGAATGGGGAATGTTACCATTTTACAAACCGAATGCCCTACTTCCTTGTTTTTAGTACAATATTCCAAGGTCAATGTACATTTTATCCTCATAGTCTGATTTAAATGAAACAGTGTTCTATTGCCCCAGGATAAGCTATACACAGTTAGGCCTACGTATTTTCCTATGTCTGCCCAGAGTCTAGACTTCAGCTCTTGTCATAAAAGCAGATGCCATCAAACAAAAAAGAGGAAATGGAGGACCCCAAGCGTGGAAATGAAGCTGGTGCTGTAGGCTCTACGTTGGTGGCTGACACCGTGAGGGCAGGTGGCTCTTGCTCTAAAAATTGCTTTAGGGAGAAGGCAATTTCCTCTCACGGCAGAGAACAAGTGGTTTACCTTATTTTAAAAGAAAATCAATGGTATTGAGTTGGCCCTTGTGAGAAATTATTCTCCCGATGGCAAGTCAATACAGATGTGATTTAAAAGGTAAAGAAAATCGTTGCCAGAGAATTTTCAATTTAACATCTGATTATTGGTAGGAACAAAAGTAACGCATGTTAAATTTCATTTAGAACTCATTTAATTTTTGTAATGAGAACTGAGCTACTTCAGTAAACATGTAGCAGTAGGTTGGCTCTTAGGCTGTAAGTTAGTTTATAGAACTGTTTTGTGTTTTGAGGGAGATTAAGGAAGTTCATCAAATATCAAGGTTAATTATTTACGTGCCTCATCTCTCACCATAAACACAAATCCCTTTACCTATATATGGTTCATTTTAAATGATAGTGCTTTAGCTTTCTATAATTTTAAAAGATAAATGGTAATTAATTAATATAAACCTGTTATAATTATATTTAACATGGATACATTAAAATTATATTTTAATCTAAATTTGTATACTAATACTATACTGTTTTAACTTTCATTGTTATGATTAAGCTATACATGTTTTGAAATATTTGGAGTGGAGAAAGATTAAGGGAAACCATGAGTTTCCCTTTTTAGATAAACTCTGCACTCTAAATCAAAATATAGTCTTCACATTTGTCCTTGTCACTTATAGGATGCCATTAAGAATTTCTCTTAATTGTGAACAACCATCCTGTGTGTTAAAGGAAGACCCTTCATATTTAGATACTATGGTCTGTAGTATCAAGGAGACCGGGAAATGACTATCATGACAAGCTGCTGTTGACAGGATTGTTTTCAAGTTAACTTAGATGGAAGTTTCACTTTAATTGCTTATTGCAGCAGTTGAAAGAATATGCCTATGACCAAAATAGTAACATAAATTCGGAGGGACTGCTTAAACAGTTCTCTCAAGACTCCTGTGGGAACAAGGCTGTTCTGTGCTATTGTAAACCTATTTCTCATATCACCCGGTCTAGCCATCGAGCCAGGTTTTGAAATGTCACATGGTGACACAGCATCCTAATGGTATCTCTTGGGAAACATTTTTTTTTTTTTTCTTGGCAAGACAATATCAAGGGTCCTTAGAAACTGAAACAACACAAAGGAAAATAAAAACAAGGACAGGAGGCTAATCCACCTCTCTGAGCAGCGGTGCCATCTCTCAGATATATTGATTTAATTAATTCACAACAATGTCCTTCTTTGATGTTTGCTCTGTGGAGTGCTCAGACTGTTAGGCTGTTTCGTTGCATATCTTGCTTTATTCTGTCCTTTAAGCAGAGCTCAAGAAAACTGCATTACAAAGCAGAGTTTCTCTTTCAACAAAATTAAAAGTGTTATAATTTTGTAATAAAAAGTTTGATTAAAAAGATCTGATTTTAAAAACAGCATAAATAAAGTCCAACACATTTCTTTCCTTCACTATCCCCTTAGACTATACAGTATGTTATTTGTGGCTCTGTTAATGTGGCCATAGTATATACCTTTTGTTTTCAGAAGATTTCTGCTGAAGATTTCCGGTTTTGCCTTTGTTGTCTCTTGTGCTATTTTTTGTGTTTATCAACCTAATAAAAACTTTGCATCTTATAATGGAATTGTAAGGATGGCACCTCTACCTTATATAAGATTCATACAATTATTCTAGACTTAGAAAATATTACCACACTTAGGACTTCAAACTATTTTTTAAAGACAAACGAAATAGAGCTTTGATTATATTGGAACTGGCAGGTATAACAGCCATCTTTACCTTTTTTTTTTTCTTTCCTGGGGTGCTTAGCAATAATTTATTGATTTAGGTAATTGTTAAATCCATAAGGATATCTTTTTTTATTTTCTTAGAATAATGTGCTGGATTTTGTAAACATTCATAAATGTAAAAAGAATAGAACTATGAACTTCAGGATACCAATTATCTTGATTTATAAAGTATGCTTCATTTTCCCCTTTCATTTTTATTTTTTTGTTTGTAAAGTACTTTAAAGCAAATCCCAAACATTATATCATTTCATCCCTTTATGGGTTTTTTTGTTTTGCTTTTTTTTTGGTGTTTTTTTTTTTTTACCTAATAACCACAGTGTCATTTTTATACCTGACAAAATTAACAGTTATTACTTGATACAATCCAGGCCATATACAGATTTTACCAATTGTATTAAAAGTATATTCTGTCAGTTCATTGAATCAAAATCCACAAATTTGGTTGTTTGAGGTAATTTGCTTTTTGTTGATCAGATTTTGAAATCTTGATTACCTATGTCTTGGGAAGGTAGGATCTTACTTTAAAAACAAACCAACATAAACCACTTTTCCTGCTTCATTGAAAGACAAAGTGAAATATGCTATAAATAAATGAAATGCATAACACGTACCGGATGAAAAATATTCTGCTTTGAATAGAAAAATCGCTTCTTCTCAAGCATTGCTACTCCAATACCCTGTATTCATTTTGGGTAAATCCCTTAGTTTTTGGTAAGGCTTAATGAGGATGGTCTGATTTAACTTGTACAAAACAGGATCCTTTAAAAAGTGTCTTTAAAACCAATTTGGAGCCATACGGAAAGATTTTACTGTAAGAAAGCATGAAGCTGCCAAAATGTCAAGCTTTACAGTTGAGCATACCTGGTGCCTGAGCTGTCTGCTTCCTATAACCTTGCCTGGACCTGAACAAATTGGCGCCTGCCTTGGTTCTGTATCTGTGGCTTTTGACTTTTTTTACCTCTAACTAAAGCAAAAAATATAGTTTTTACATCAAGATTTGATAATAAACACATACATACACACAGGCATAAACACACCTGAAGTAAAAGTTTCTTGAAGTAGTACTTATCCTATGTTTGAAGCACTGTGATGTTTTCTATTTTACTGTATTTCATTAAGAAGTAATTCAGGCTGTAACCCATTGAATTGATTCCATGAATTGGTTCGGAAAACATTTGGCTTAGTGCTCAGAAGCATAAGCTTTAGCATCTAAGGAACCTGGATATAAATATCAGCTCCATCAGTTACCAGCAGTGCATCCATGGGACTCATTTTAAATGTGCTTCCTATACAATTTTTCAGAAAATAATTATTTGTGTCATGGGAAATATAATTGTACTCCCTTATGCTAGCTAACCTGTTAAGACTTATTCCTTAGATTAATACATATGTTACTCCATATCAGAAAGTCACTGTATGTCCTCACTTAGACCAGCACTATATTCTGAGGTTTCCCAAGAGAGATGACTTTGAGTGGCCAGAGTTGCAGAACTTTCTTCTCTCTGCCCACTTTTATATGACTTCTGCCAGGTTGCAGTATATCTGGGTGAGAGAAATACTGTATGGCTTTAACAAAATATTGCTATGATGCAAAAAGAGTATTCTTTTTTAGATTCTTAATTAATGCACAGTGGCTGTCCAGTAAAAGGCAAACAGTTGGTTTCTTTGGGGAGAAGCATGGGTTTTTTTGACCATTTTTTGAATGATGTGTGCCAAAAGGCATTATATTTATGTAATGTCCACCTAGCAGTTACCATGTACCCAGGACAGTGCTTTATAATACTCCTTTTTAAATGCTAATAAACAACTCGATGAGTTAAACACCATTATTAACTCCATTTCACAGATGAGGAAACCAAAACAAGGTAATTAACTTGCCCGAGGTCATGAGTAGTAAATAAGAGTTGGGATTTGAACTTGGGAAGTCTGGCCTCTGGGCTCTTAACCACTGTGCTGTCGCTTATAACATAACCTCTTACAACAAACTGCAAATCAGGAAAAGTTTTTTCATTGAGGTATAATTGACATATAACATTGTATTACTTTTAGGTGTACAACGAAATGATTCGATATTTGTACATATTTTAAGGTGATCATCACAAGTCCAGTTAACATCTGTCACAGTACATAGTTACAAAATTTTTTTTCTTGTGATGAGAATTTTTAAGATTTACTCTCTTAGCAACTTTCAAATATGGTGTAATTAACTATGGTTGCCATGCTGTACATTACATCCCCATGACTTATTTATTTTATAACTGAAAGTTTGTACCTTTTGACCCCCTTCACTCATTTTTGCACCCCTCCCTCACCCCACCTCTGGTAAACACCCTCTGTTCTCTGTATCTCAGAGCATTTTTTGTTTGCTTAATAATTAAGTGAATGCTAGCTATTTTAATCTGTGTCCCAAATGATGAAATTGGATTTTTGAAGTTAAAGAATGTTCCAGGAGTTTGTCCCAGGACACTATCCATCTTTCCTGTTGCAATGCACATCTTAAATGGAAAAATAAAATTATATGAATGGGTTAGCTATTTTTAACTTCTAATGGGTGATTACAAATTACAGATTACTTTTACATACATTAAACTGGACTAGAAATCAAAATAATATGAGTTCAAGTTCTGGTTCTTCTGTTTTGTAGACACATAAGTTGGGACAAGTCACCTACCCTCTCTGCTTTTGTTGCCCACCATCAGCCAATGCTAAATAATTAGAATATTTGGAAATACTTTTTTGAAATGTTAGGTGCTTCTTGTTTAAATTATTTGGTAACATTTAGATTATCAAGGAGTGGCTAGGTTTGGAAAAATCAATCTATTCATTATTCTGTCTTTAGACTTGAAAAAAAATTACCTCTGTATGTGACTTATGCATACAAACTAAATGTATTCCCAGTATTTAGTAGAGGGCAAAATAAAATGTAAAGTTCAATATATACCCTAGAGACTACGTTAAAATTATATATTCCTTTTAAGAAAAGCCGAATGACATTTAAATGACATTTTTCTGTTCTACAGAAACCAAAGGCAAATACCAAAGTAATTTGTAAGCGTTGCAGGGTAACGTTGGGAGAGACCATGTCATCAGGTAAGAATTTGGTAATAAAAAAATCTAAAATGATTGCCTTTTTGTTAAAAAACCAATTGAAGGAGATGGAGATTTTATGGGAAATATAGATGAAAGATGATTAATATATATTGTAGAATTGATACATTTTAAAATAGACATCAACTAGCATGTCATCCAATATGCTAAGAACTTTGTGTATTTTGTGTATTTTGACCTCTGTCAGTACATAATATTGAGTTATGAGCTTTAAGACATTGGTTCATTTTTAATGTTTTATACCCTCTTGGTAGATTTAAAATGATAATATAAAGTTTGTACTTGGGTCTGTCTTAAAGAAGATTGGAACCTTTTTCTTAATATAGCTCCTCAGTCAGAAGAGTTGGTTGTCAGAGATAATGAACTTGCTTTCCTTGGCTGCCCTCTTCCTCAGGGCTGTATTTTGGGGCTGGTGGTGGGAAAGAACCTGTTGAAATGGAAGAAAACACATTCTGAGTTTTGTACTCTATTCCTTGTTCTATTCCCCAACAACGTTAATTATATTTTATAGAAAATATGTTATACCACTTCAAAATATAATGCAAATCCCGATAATTAAAATCCGTCACTATTTAAAGATGGAGTTTAAAGATATCTAGAGAACTAAAACATGCTGTGTTAACTTTGTGGGTCATGAATAATTGTTTTTAATACAATTAATTAGATGATGTGATTTAAGGGAAGCCATTATACTTAAGGGAAGATGGATGGTAGTATTTTTTTTTTTAAATCATGAAAGTCTTGTAAGTACTTACTTGCTCAGAGTGAACAGAAAAGGAAGAATGAGTAGTAGTAGTAAAGGATGCTACCCCCAATGTTACTTTTGGAGAATGAAAGCAAACCTCTTAAGCAACAACTTAGAAATCTATTTAAGATAAGGAAGGTGAATTAAGTTTTTTGAGATTTTTTCACTCCTCCCTGAAGCCCTGTCAAAATGTCAGTTAAGGAATAAAAAAAGATGTACATCCACAGAGACAAAGAGAAACAGAGAGGAGACAACCATGATGTAAACAAGAGGTGTTGAGCGAACTTTGTTTTGGAAGCTGACAACGTGTGGGAACACACTTGCATCTGGGGTTCTGCAGCCTAGGTGTCTTCCGAAGATCCTTTGGAAGGAGTGAGTCAATACTCGCTGCAGAACCCCAGATCTGGTCAGAATTTGGAGGCAGTAGGTAACAGGGAAGGCAGTCTTAGACGAAGGGCTAGATACAAGCAGGATGATTCATTCAGAGGTTATACATGGAGCTTTAAGACTCCTGAGTCTCCTCCTATACTTGTAACTTGCTTATATTCTCAAGGTAGCAGATTAGAGAACCCTTTCTTGGAATAATGGAAGAGTACCAACTGGAGAAATGATTTGCAGATATTGATTTATAGGGGTAGCGCAACCAAAAAAAAGGCTTATGTTCAGCCAACCTGCAATAACAAGCCGTGTACTTACACCCAAAAGCTTCCTCTTTTACCTTCCTCTTAATGGATTGCTGAGAATCAACAACTATTTAAGGAAACTTCCAACATGAAAGAGACAAAAGCAAATAAATAATCAAGTAAGCAAAGTAAAAGCACTGAGAAGAAACAACTTATCTATAAAATAGAAGAAAATCTTTTAAAAGCATAATAAATGTCCTTGGAGAAATTAAATAATACTGCCTCCATAATTCAGAGAATGTTTAGTTATGAGAAGTAAAGATGTAATGACTTAAAAAGCTAACCAACGGACTAAAGATCAAATTAAGGAACTTCTTTACAGTGATGTTGAAAGCAGGAAGACAGTGAAACACTACCTTCATAAATTTTCTGGAAATAACAAGTTTTCAAAATATAGATCTCAAAGGTATATTTAACTTAGGAATCTACCATAGGGTATTTATCACCAAAACTAGGGATTTAAACTCAAAAGAGAAAAATTGGGATTTGGGAAACAGATTATCCAACATAGGAGAGCAAGACAAGGAAGTCTCAGGGTGAGACATGTGCAGCAGCCCTAGGAATTTCAGCCTGGATGGGATCAAGGGGAGAGAAGACTGCAGTCAAGACGTTTTCAGTTGTAAGGTGAAACTGATAAAATCTTTTATTTGTTTTACTACATGTAACAAATAATCTTGAGACAAGTCTCTTCTTCATATGGGAAGAATTAGCTGAAGGTGGGAAAGCTAAATACATGAGAAAAGAAAGTAGCTGTGCACTGCAGGAAAACAAGATTGAACAAGAAAGGAAACATTGCCATGGTATCATGCTCACAATAATATATATAAACACTAAATATTGATTTAACCAAAAATCTTTATGATGTAATACGTAAGTATGTTAGGAGGTCAATGTGTGTGAGTGTGCGTGGAATGATGTAAGAGAGCTATTTTTACATCTACTCTAAAAGTAAATTAGGCAGACATCATTTCCAAAAATGGTAGCATCAAGAAAGTGGACACCTCCATTTTGTAGAAAACAAGTATAAGACTGTACAAGTTCAAAAAATTCTTACGACAACAACTGGAAGACAAAAATGAAACAATGATTTGAGAAGGGTTTAGTTATGAGAAACTGCTACTGCGTTAGGTTAGAATGGCACATTTTTCACCTTCTGGTGTGGGGGCGTTGCCATTCTCCCCACCTGAACTTGGGGATGAAAAAAGCCACAGGTTTATTGTCTACAGGTGGTAGATTTGGTTCAGGACAGGCAGAAGTGAAACTAGAAATGAAAGAGCAAAATTTGGGGAGCAAAAGGGCCATGGAAGGGCTGAGATGACAACTCTTCACACAACACTGGCTTACTGCTAAACTATACATGCACATAGTAGATGCCAGAGAGTCCAATAAGAACCAAAAGCATGGGAAGACCTGCGGGTTTGCTGTGCCTGGGATTGCATTCCTCAATCCACACACAAGTTGGGCAACAGAAGGTGGAAGCCTTACTGGCTTGAGGTATTTAAACAGAAGTTCTCCCCAAATTTGCTGACAGCTAAACTATGCAGGTATAGTAAATACTCACTAGGGAGCTAGGCTAAACAAAATAACACTGAGCAGAGCCATTAGTGGCTACACACTGTGGAAAGACATTTCACAGTTTGAGTTCAGGCTAGTTCATTGACTACTATTATCTATAAACCGACAACCCTTAAAAGAACAAAATAAAATTCAGAATCACTGCATGTAATACGTACTTCCATCTAGAAATTATTAGACATGCAAAGAGACAGAAAATAGTGATTCATACTAAAAGAAAAAACAGCACTCAATAAACAGATGCTGAGTAAGCACAATGCTAGATTTAGCAGACAAAGCTGTTGAACAGCTCTTATGAATATGGCAAAGAATTTGTAAAAATCTCTTGAGTGAACTAATAGCAAATCTCAACAAATTAGAAACTTCAAAGAAAGAATCAATTGATAATTATAGAGCTGAAAAGTACAGTAATTAAAGAAAAATTCACTAGATTAGCTAAACCACATATTTGAGATGACAGAAGGAATAAAATCATTGAACCTAAAGATAGATTAATGGAAATTAACCAATCCAAAAACAGAGAGAAAAAGTCTGAAGAAAAATGAACAGAACCTCAGAGATTTGTGGGACAATATTGTGTTTCAATTTATGTGTAATTGGAGTCTCAGAAAGTGAGGAGGGAAAAAAAGCATCAGGAAAAAAAAATACATAGAAGAAAATGGCTGAAATCTTAGCAAATTTGGTGAAAAATATTAACTTTCAGATTCTAGAATTGCAATGAATCTCAAGTAGGATAAACACAAAGAGCACTACCCAGGCACATTTTAGATAAACTGATAAAAACCCAAGGTGAAAAGAGAATCTTGAAAGTAGCAAGAGAGGAAACATCACATATAGGCATTTCATGATACAATTAGACCAACTTCTTATAGAAATAATGACAGGCAGAAGACACTAAAATGAGATATTCAAATGCTGAATGGGTTGGGGGGAATACCTGCCAACTAATAATCCTATATCCAGCAAAACTGTCCTTTAAAAATCAAGGCAAAATAAAGATATTTTTATATGAATAGATGGAAAGAATACGGTACTAGCAAACCTTCTCTGCAAAAAATGCTAAAGGAAGTTCTTCAGGCCAAAGCGGGAGCTATCAAATGATAAATGTAATCCACAGAAGGAATGACGAGCAAGGTAAATGGAAAATATGTGGGTAAATTACCACAAAAGCAAACTCAAAAGAGGTTAGTGTAAAAAGTATGATTTTCGAATTCTCTAAAATTATAGCCTTTATGTAGATTGATTTGATAAATAAGAACAGAAATCAAAGGGTACACAAGATGAGAACCTAGCAGGTGATTGTCTGCACAACCATATGAGATCCTAAAGGACCATAGCCTCATAGTGAATCAGAAGTGGACCAGCCCAATGGAGTTATAGACAGGTATCAATCCTTTGGGTCTTTAGGGAATTTCAAGTCTTGAACTTGGTTAATCTGCCTTATAATAGATATAGCACCATGTGCCAGGCAATATCAAAAGCAATCATCTGTGGAGGAAAGTACCTTCATTGTAAAATTCATGTGATTCCCCAAAATAATTTGTCAAGTGCAGTGGTCACCATATAACCAAAGATAAATAAGCAAACAAGTAAACTAGATTTTCACTAACAAGAACTTCCAACAACCCAAACAGCAAAGACTAGAAACAGACTTCTGTTATTGGAATTGTCAGATGTAAACTGTAAAACAGCTATGCTTACTATTTTTAACAATATAAAGACAAGTTTGAATATATTGAAAAGGAAACTATAACAGTAAGCATATTTGGAAAAGATTCACAATAGAATTTCTATAAAAATGTATTATAGTTGAAATTTAAAACTTGGTGGTTTAACAGCACAGTACAAGTTGGAGAAAAGAATTAATGAACAGAAGCTAGATGAGAAGAAAAATCTGTAATCCAGCACAGAGAGACGGGAAGGCAAAAAATATAGAAGAGAGAGTCAGAGACGTAAAACACACCAAGAAGATCTAACGTGTGTTTAATCAGACTTCTGGAAGGAAAAGAGAAATAGAATGGAGCATAGGCAATATTTAAACTAATAATTGCTGAGAATTTTACAAAAGTGATGAAAACAACAATTCAAAAAGTCCAGTGAATTCTAATTAAATGAGGCTCAAGTAAGATAAATAAAAAGAAATTCATAGCTAGATACATCAGAGTGATACTGCAGAAAAATGAAAAACCAAGAGAAAATCTTAAAAGCAACCAAAGAAAAATGACAGATCACCTTCAAGGGAACAACAGTAATGGAATTTTAAAGAGAGTGGAATCAAGTGTCATTGTGCACAAAGGTCAACCCAGGTAGGATTTTATCTCAGATGAAAATACCCTGGTATGAAAGAATCAAGACAAGGATAAATATATTTTCTGACTAAAAAAAACCTGAGCTAATTCCCCTCTAATAGTTGGTTTCTTATTAAAAGAAATTCTACCTGTATATCAGTATCAGGAAGAAAATAATCCCAGATAAATTATTTTATTAAAATCTTTTACAAGAAGGATTGATAAAGAAACTGGTAAATATGTAGGTGACACTAAATGAATATTAACTGTATAAAACAATAATACCTTGTGGGAATAAAATTATGAAATTAAATTATATTTTAACAGCTGGCATAAAAAGGATACTTCATAATGTTAAATGGTTCAATTCTGCATCTAATAGCATGACTTCAAAATAGTAAAATGAAAATTGATCAAGGAGAAATAAATATATTTGTTATGGCTCTAGATATATAATAACCTGTTAAACTATTGATTTTATTTTTTTTGCCTATTTCTCTAGGTTATATCGAGCAATTGAAAACATTTTCAGAAAATATTAGGAACAACTTTCCATTTTATTAAAACAATTAAAAATTATTTTGTACACTATTTTAATGACTGCCTAGAATTTTCTTCCCTAAATGTATAATTGTTTATTTAACCCAGTCATCTTCAGTTTTTAGACATTTAATTTGTTTTCAGTATTTTCCTATTAATATTTTTATGAGTGTCTTTATAGATCAATTTCTGCAGATATCTATGAGTATTTCTTTGAGGTAAACTCTTAGGTGTTTATGGCGTCAAACTATATACATACTTTTAAGAACTTTGCCAGGTAGCTTTTCTTTTCTTTTCTTTTTTTTAAGCTGAGCCATCCTGCCACCTGTTGGCAGCTCAGCAAGCTGGGCATCGAACCGCTGTTGCTCAGAGCTCAAATTCATGAGCGACCTCTTAACCAACTGAGCCACTCGGCTGTCCCACCAGGTAGCTTTTCATGAATCTATTCTCATTTTCAATTCTGACTGCAGTATGTGAATGTGTATCCATTTCTCCATGTCTTCATCAGAGTTGCACCTTATCATTAAAATTATTTCATTTGCCTGATGCGAAAAAATACCTCATTTTAATTTGCATTTCCTCCATTATTAGTGAAAGCAAACACTTTTCATGTATTTTGTAAAAACTCAAATTGATTGCATTTATATTTCTTTCTATTAGATATTTAGTTCACTACTTAAAGTTTTCTGTAAAGTAAGTAATCAGATTACCAAATTTGGTGGGAATTATACATTTGTAATTTCAGTGAAATTCTGGGTAAATACGAATATGAGGTTCACAGCATCTGTGTAAGGGCTTTGAGATGCTATGATTAAAAAGCATTTTTCAGTGACTTCTAGGTTTGTGGCTACTTATTGAAATAAGGAAATCAAATGACTAATTTCTGAATAAGTGAGCTATAGCTGTGATGTGACTAAATTTTCTAACCTTCTGTATGTGTGAGCAGAGTCTTACTGCACCAGATTCATGTGGGGCAGGCTCTTCTGAAATCACATCAAGCTGTCTAAGTCTCAGGGCTGTCTCCTTGTAATCATCAATGCTTTGTCTTCTTAAACAAGGTCATTTTTAAAAAGTTTTACTGAATGCTAATTTTACCAGTATATGTAATATTTAGTTTGAATGTTATAATTTGGGATCAACATGCCCACAATAAAAATATTAGTGTATTGGGGAGATTTGTAATTTTTTGTTTGTTTGTTTCTAGAAATTGTTAAGTTTTATATGACAGAGATAATGATTCAGCCATCTGAGAGAAATTTTCCCATCATACCAAGGTACAAATAGCACATTAAGTTTATTCTGTAATTTCAAATGTAGGAAAAAATAGGTACAGTTTGTTATTTGGGAATTTATTTTTATTTATACCTCTCTTTGTTTGGCAAGGTTAGTTGAACCAAACTACACACGTAAAAGACTTCAGGATTTATTTATGGTTTGCTTACATAATGGTATAGACAAATGTGCTCATATATACTATACATCTAATTCTGAAAGGTTTTTGTGCTTTCTATGTGCCAGATATTCAAGGTCTTATACCTAATCATCAATAGGTTTTTGAACAATTATTTCTGGTTTTAATTTGACTAATTTAAAATTTGAAACATGGATCAGTTTTCACATGACTCCTGTGTTTTAAAAAAATGGTGCTTAGCCACTAAATCCATTAGTTTTTCTTTTCTTTGACTCTTTTTAGTTTACAAGAAGTTAGCTATAATATTCGTATGTTTTTATTTCATTTCACTTATTGATGTCTAAAAATTATGGTAATCTACACATAACCTTGAACTTTATCCTCCTATAAAGACCTTTGTTATGTTTCTCAGATCTGACACTTTGAGAGGATCCAAATGGAAAATATGGTAGATAATATTGTCTAATGTTTGGGAGGAGATTTCTCACCTCTTTTAACTTAGCTATTCACTGTTTAAGGTGCTAAAGTACAAATGGAATATTGACTTATCTAACATAGTATTTTTTATTCAGTAGCAGGGAATAGTTAGGTGTAGGATGGAAAATGTATTAAGGATTGGAGAATAGGATATAAGAAGACTAGAGCAAACACAATTACATTAAAATATATTGATTGCATTAGCGCAGATTGTGAAGGAATGGATAGCATATAGAAAAGTCTAGCATGCACATGCCTCTGCCTTTTAGTTACACTGTGAGTATTTTTGGCTCATCTTGCCAGTTAGAGTTATTATGAGAGGCACATTGTGAAAATTGATTTCTGTTCAAACAGGTCTCAGTTTGTACAGAGTATTATCGCCCAGTGTCTGGTGGAACTCTCCTCTGCTAGAAGCACTTTTAGATTCAGTATTCAAGGTCACGACGGCAAAGCATACGTCTTGGTAAGAAATTATTTCACCTTGCTTTTTGTAGCCGAGCAATCCAGAGTCTCTGAAATTCTTTAGTTTTTGTTGTTCTTTTTCCCTAATTCTCAGGTCTAGAAAATAATTGATCAAAAATTTGACTTTGGGTGCTGAATACACAATGCAATATACAGATGATGTATTATAGAATTATACACTTAAAACCTCTATGATTTTACTAACCAATGTCACCCCAATAAATTTAATAAAATTAAAAAAGAATAAAATAATAGTAAAAAAATGAATTTTTAATAGCAGTTTAATTCACAAATCAAACTCTCTTTACTTAATAACAAATGATCGAGTACCTTCATGTGCTAAATATTAGGGATATAGAGAGAAATAAAACCTGATTCCTGCTCTTTAGAAACTCATACCACAAAATAAAGTTTTCCACTCTCAGTTTTTAATGGCATTTCTTGGTTAGTATAACACAGTTCTGTCTCTCACCTTTTTTTTTTTCTGTTCGATACTCTTATACATGTTTCTTTTTGTTTGTTTATTTGTTTTGTGGTAAGAACACTTAAGAGCTACCCTCTTCACAGATTTTTAATTAACAGTACTGTTAATTATAGGCACAAAGTTGCACAGCAGATGTCCAGAATGTATTCATTTTGCCCACCTGAAACTTTATACCCTTTGATTAGCAACTCCTCATTTCTCCCTCTCCCCAGCCTCTGGCTACCACCATTCTATTCTCTACTTTTGTGAGTTAGACTAGTTTAGATTCCTCATATAAGTGGAATCTATACAGTGTGTATCCTCCTGTTTCTGGCATGTTTCAGTCAGTGTAATGCCCTCAAGGTTTATCCGTATTTTCACATATTACACGATTTCCTTCTTTTTTAAGATAATATTTAATTGTATATATGTGCCACATTTTCTTTATTCATCCGCATTCAGGTTGTTTGTACATGTTGGTTTTTGCAAATAGTGCTGCAGTGAACATGGGAGGGCAGGTATCAACGCTTTGATGTTTGAGAAGTAGAGCCAAGTTTTGGAGAAGAGGCTCTTGCAATAAGCAGAATCATCCCCTACATGTATCACAAGCATCTACTGTTACACTGTTTCCATTTAAAATAATGTGCTGCAGAAAAGAATTTTCTGCAAAAATCCAAGAATCAGGGCCCAAGTCTCTTCTCTGCCACTTATCTGTTTTATTCACTAGTCAACATATATTGAACACTTTTTTATTTGAAAGGCACTGTTCCAGGTACTCAGGATAGAGCAAAAATGCCTTCAAGGAACTCAAAAGGTAATAAACAAAGTAGTTAAAAGAAAGGAGATAGAGGTTGTTATTAGGTATGGCTTTGTAGCTGGCCATCCATTATGGCAGCCCCATTCTTCTGTAAGTCCAAGTCCATATAATTTCTATCAAAAGCTACTGAATGGTAATTTTACCAGTATATGGAATATTTAGTTTGAATGTTATAATTTGGGATCAACATGCCCACAATAAAGATATTTGTGTACTAGGGAGATTTGTAATTTTCTTATTTTTTGTTTCTAGAAACTGTTAAGATTTATAGGAGTGCTATACATTATAGATAATAACTTGGTTACATATGAATTATTTCTCCAAGTTGGTTGTCTTATTTTCATTTTTTAAAACTTTTATCATGTCGGTTGCTCCACCAAAGTTATGCTTTGAAAAACTTAACCGTCCTTAATAATTATATACATGATTCTTTTTGTTTTTTTCTGGTATTTTTATAGTTTGGCATTTTTTTTTAATTACAGATATGAAATATGGATAGGGTGTTGATATCCTTTTATTTGGACTTTTCTCTCCATATCTTTAGCTCTGGCTTTTAAACTCAGACAGTTTGGTGATTGAATCTTTGGGAAGTTCCAAAAGTATCACAAAGTTTCCCCTGTTGGAAGACACATTGAAGGCGGATTCCAGTTCTGCTTGGAATGCTGTCAAGGTCCTCTACCAGCCATGCATCCCAAGCAGGAATGCAAAGTAAGTTGTGCTTCTGTTTACTCATTCCACATTATGTTTTAGTTTCTGTTGCCACGTTGGTGTTAAAAAATTAATTAAATGGTACTGTATGTACCGCTTCCATACTTGAAGCTTCTAGGAGTCACATTGCTAAGTGTTATACTTTCAAAGTAGGTTGAAGTATGACAGATGACTCATGCTAATGTGCAGAAAGCTTGCTTTTACTGAAAACAATTGGTCTTTTTCTTGTGATCTCAGCTGTCTGTACATATGGCTGCAGTACTAAGTCAGGCTTCCACGTTCTGAACGTTTACTGATAGTCGCTTTCCAGGCATGCCTGATACAATAGTAAACAAAACACAGTCCGTGCCTCCTGACGCTGTCATTCTAATAGGGGGAAGGCAGACCATAAACAAAACAGACAAAAAAATCGAAGCCTAAAGTGGCTCTTACGGTGAGCCCAGCACTCATCTAAGGGCTTCTAGCTCATTTAAGCCTAACAATACCCCTGTGGGGTAGGCACTGTTCTCACCCCCAATTAGAGATAAGCACACTAACACAGGTGTTAAATTACTCGAATGAAATATAAAGCTAGGTGAGGTAGTCCGAGAGTGGTGGGATGGGTATAAGAGGTAGTCGTTTTATATGGAAAAGTCTTAGGAAGATTTCTCAGATAGAATGCTGTTTAACTGGAAAACTTAAAGGAGGCCATAGCAGCGGGAAGAGCATTCCCGGCGGAGGAGACGGAAAGTGTTCTTATTTGAACAGATTGGAAGTCTGTGCTTGTCCTATACTCTTAAATGTGTTCAAATTCGTCCTAAGAACAGAAAGATCCCAGCCTTTTTCTGGGAAGTAAATAAGAAAAATTATTAAATAATTGCTTGTCTTTTCTTTTTTGTATTATGCAAGCACTATAAATCATAAAATATTCAGACAGTAGAGACACACATAAAGTAAAATATGGGAGTTCTCCATCATTTTCCACTCCAGAAGTAAAAAGTATGTTGTGTACTCTTCCACTCCTTTTCTGTTTGTTACCTTGCGTTTTAACATAATTTGAATGATACATGTATGTTTTTTACACTTAAAAAAAAAATACTGCCTTGGAGGTTCTTTCCATGTCAGTGCTTGGCATTTGACGAAATGGAAGTAATATAAGTAATTTCACCATTGTACTCTTGGTAGGTATTTGCGTTGCCGCTTTTTCACTGCCGTAAGTAGTGTTGCACTATATATTGTTGTACATTTGTTTTGTGAGTATGTGTACTGTTTTTGTAAGAAGGATTTCTAGAAGTAGAATTGTTGAGTCAGAGTATGATATTTAAAATTTTGATAGATAATATCAAATTGTTTTACAAAAGAAGCATTACAAATGTATATTCCCTCCTGAAGATTCTGTACATGTCCATTTCCCTGCACCCTTACCCAAACGGCCATTTAGATGTTTGCCCATCTGATGCCAATCTAAATGAAATGTTTACTTGACTATCCTTGTGTTTTATTGAGGCATGATCAGACAATGTAGCTTATTTGATGCTTTGGGGACTTCGTTGAGCTTTTTGTGTGTGTGTATGTGTGTGTGTGCGCGCGTATGTGTTCTGATAGTCAGCTTTTAACCTGTTAATTTGTTATATTCTCAGTTGCTAGTGTGCATGTATATGTGTGTGTATACCTTTGTATATGTAGATTTATATAGTCCTGTTTATTAAAACCTTTTATATTCACCTTTTTTATTTGTTTGAGATGTGGATTTTTGAGAATGGTGTGTTAAATATCACAGTATGCTTATGGAAAAGTAATTTTCTTCTCGTTTTGGTATGAGTTTTTACATTATGTATTTTGAAGCTATATCACTAGGTACATTAAGATTTGTGACATGACAACTTGACTAATTACATATTTTATCAATAAGAGATTTAGCTCTCCTTCCATTTGGTGATATTTTCCTTTAATTCTAATTTGCTTGATATTAATATTGCTATATTTATTTTCTTATTTTAATTGTTCATTTGTTATATCTATTTCTATTTCTTTATTTTCAGCTGCCATTTGTTATTTTATCTTAGTTCTGTGTCTTGTTACCATATACCTTGTAAACTGCATGCAGTTGGAATATTTTAAAACTCCAATTGACAACTTATTTTAATAGTTAATTAAATTAATTCACATGTATTGATTTAGTTGCACTTATTCTGCTATCTTTTACATTGGTTGCCTTCTCTCTGTGTCGTTTCTTTCCTTTGATGATTTGGAAGTAAAAATTACCTATTTCAAAATGATTTTTAGTCATTAACCTTAAATTTTTTTTTTTTTATTAGCTGAGCCATCCTGCCACCTGTTGGCAGCTCAGCGGCAGCTCAGCTTGGGCTGTGAATCGAACTGGTGACCCTGTTGCTCAGAGCTCACACTCTTGAGCGAGCTCTTAACCAACTGAGCCACTCAGCTGGCCTTTTAACCTTAAATTTATTTTTTTTTTAAGATTTTTATTGGGGTATTGGGGGAATGGGAACAGTGCTAGGGAATTGGGGGAAGGGGAACAGACAAGTTGCTGTCCTTTGGTTCTTCAGTCTAGTTGTGGAGGATGTTGCTTCACTGGCCCAAGTTGGCACCATCATTGCGCTCTTCCCGGGCGAGGCAGATCAGTCGCCGGCTTCTGGACGGCCGGTTGCTTGCCGCTCATGGTGGCTGCTGGCTACACACGGTAGCCCATGGCAACCCACTGCCACAGGGGCTGCAGCCTATGCCGTCGCCAGAGACTCACAGCAGCCCAGCTCCAGGTTGAGCTGTTGTTCAGCATCTTAGCTGTAGAGGGCAGTGTCACTGGCCCTCATATATGGGATCTGAACCGGGGCCCTCTGGCATCCCAAGCCAGCTCTTAACCAACGCGCCACTCAGCCGTCCCTAACCTTACATTTTTAACACATACTTAAACTTATTCTTTTACTATCGATATCTAGATTTAATTAGCATCCATCCTCTTCACTAGAACAAGAAAAGACTCTTAAGAAGGTTTCACATTTCTTGTCTTGCTTCCTCCCTCACATGCTAGCTCCCCTATGTTGAGATCATCTGTGATTCTAATGATGGTGGTTGTTTCTTCGTAAGGAAATATTAAGTCAAAGCCCTACCTCATTTGCTTACCTCTTACTTACATTCATGCATTATGACCATAAATGTTTTTTATATTTTTAATGTATAAGTCTATTTCCATAATAATATTGCTTAATGTTTTAAAAATACATATAAATAATAATGTGTGTATTTTCTGTAATTTATTTTTTAGTCAATATTTTTTGTTTCATTGTTTGAATTGAAGAATATGCTCTAACAGTTTTTTAAAATTTCAACTGTAGTCAATCCGTGAACGTCTGAGAATCTTTTATACCTATTTTATCTCTCTGAAAGCTTTTAGGATTTTCTCTTTATCTTTAGTTTTCCAAGATTTCATACAGATGAATCTAAATAAGTGTTTATTCAAAATTATCTCTATGTCATAACCTGTTCTTATCTTACAATATTCTTGTAATATTCTCTCAATATCTATGAGAATAGTAATTACACTTAAAGTCTTTTTTTTTTTCTTTATTGACTCTTTTTCCTGGATGTTACTTCTTCTTTTTGAAAAGAGATTTTGTGTTTGGTACTTCATGATGTTGCTTTTCCCAAATGTTTGATGATTTCACTAGAATTCCTACACTAGGATGTAAATTCCATGTAAGCCAGGACTTGCCTGTCTGCTCATTACTACATCTAGGTGAGTTCTTACAGAAGTACTCGAAAAATACATCGTATGTTTACGTTTAATAAAACATGTGTTGCATGAATGGTACATGGTTTTCTGTTTATCTTCGTATTCAATAATTATTGTTCATCTATTGATAACTGTAGGTTTTCGTTACCGTAACCTGCCTTTATGGATTAGTGAAAGAGAACTCAAAGGATATACTAGTCTGGATGTGCCAGTTTGTCTTTTGACAAGTTTCGGGTATTAAGAAAAAGGAAGTGGCAGTAGATTTAGCTATGGAGTTGAACCTTGTATTCATTATTAACAAATCCCTACTGACACCGGAAATATGATGACTATTGTAGGTTGTGTTTTGCTCTATGTGATTAGTGAACTTTTTTTTTTTAACTCTTTATGTCTTGGGGATGAGTTGAGGTGCAGTAAGTGAGTTTGATTACTTCAGTGTGCCTGTTTTATGTAACTACTTTTTGTTGTGCTTTTCTTGCTGCTATTGTTTGACTCTGTGTCCCCCAAATGTAGGAAGGGAATTTCACCAAATTGTGTAAGTATCATGTGAATTATTTACTTTTGTCTTTTAAGGACATTAGTTTCATTCTTTTTAGGCATGACTGAGCAAACCAAACTGTAAACTCCCTGGCATATTTTTGGCACATGGGGTGGTGCATTAATTATTTTAGTCCAATTAGCTAGAATTTTTATTCTAGCGGAAGTATGGATTACCAGATGGCAGTCTAAAAGAGGAAAATCACAAATGTAACTCTGGTTTTATTTCCTTGAGCACACACAAAAAAGTGGCAGGTAATATTTTTAGAATGTTCTTTCTTTCTAGCAATACACACACAACACATGTCTCTTAACATTTTGAAGTCTATTTTTTTTATCCCCCTCCTTTTGCCTACAAACATCCTACAACTCACATTCTTTAGTTTGCATATCAGAGTTTAGATACTAAATATTAACCTATTAGCTTCGGACTCTAACTTCCGCAGTTTAATTCTGCTAATTCATCAGTTCACCTGTGGCCTCATATTCTCTAGATGGGAGTAATTTTCGCCTCAGGGAACATTGACAATGTTTGGAGACATTTTTGGTTGTCACAGCTTGGCATGGGTGGGGTGGGAGGGTTACTGGCATCTAGGAGGTAGAGCCAGGAGTGCTCTGAAACATCGTAAATGCATCCGAGAGCCCCCTACAACAACGAATTATACAGCCCAAAATGCCAGTAATGCCAAAGTGGAGGAACCCTGTTCTACATTATCTCCTAAAATCAAGCTAT